TTTTTCAGTTTTTGTACCAGCACTACTCTTTGGAATAGAAGCTGTTCACGTGGCTGCACCTTTGGTGATCTCTGTTTGTCTGTCCCAAAATGTGGTTTAATATGGATATCTTCAGATTTAAATCTGGTAATGTCAAAGATCTCACTTTTTTTCTTAAAGTGCGATAGTATGCCATTTTGTTAGAGCATCTCCAACAGATATGCTATATTTTCTCTTTTTCCCTTTTTTTTTATTACCAAATTTGGAGATTTCTTCATCTATCCTATTTTCCTCCATATCAGAGGAGAGTTTAGCTTCGCTGCTGGAATAAACCTTTTCCAATTCTCCAAAACTTTAAAATAGCATAGCTGTTGTTGGAGATGCTCTTAAACCTCATGATCATGAACCACCAGAAATTCCTATGAAATGCATTTTCATTGATGCCAAAGGTGGTGGCTCTTTTCTCGTTTTTCCATCTTTCATTGTCCTTTCTATCCTTAGTAAGTATTGTACYTTTTATTTCTGAAAAATTAGGGGTCTGCTCGAAATTGCCACTTGAGCTTCGAAACCCTGTAAGTGCGGTAACATATACATCCATTATGATGTTTGTGTTCCACACACACACATGTTACTGAATTTTCCATTCCTTCAATTTTCAGTGATGGACTTCCTATCGGTTTTCCTCATGATGTTTGTCACATGAATTTCTTCAATCTCTATAGAAACGAGCTTTTAAGGTACATGTAGAGACATTGCGTACAAAATGACTTGACCAATCCTGATCTCCCCTCTTTAAGTCTATCAAAAGGATGTGATCTGGTACAACTTTTGGTTTTTGTTTATTTTATTTTGATGGGTGATCTTTAAATGTATTTTGTTGTGGGTTTCAAATAAAGAGATATTAGTGTCGCTTGCATTGCATTTTTATTCCTCTTGAGAAATGTTGGTACAGCTCTGATATTTCAGGACCTGAGGGCATCTGACTTCTGTATCATCTATCTGGTCAGTAATGGAAAATTAATTRGAAGGCTGTGTTTACATATACTGGTAATTAGGCACAACATGTCATATCTACTTGTAGTTCCATTCTTGAGAAAGGAATTGTGTATTTGATCTTTATCCCCATTAACTCGTCTAGTCTTTGGATCACATGCAGTTGACTGCTAGGCCGGATAATGGTAGTGATGTTGAACTGTTTATTCTTTGTTCCCAAAGTCATTTTTCCAAATACCCTGTTTATATATGTTTACATTCTCATTAAATGACTTGGCCTTTTGGAGTTCTCTCTTTTTATGTCATGTACATGAGATTTGCAATGAATATGTCTTTTTATACTTTGGCAGTTTTTGTACCAGCACATCTTGTTGGAGCTGGTCAGTCTCAAAATATGGTTTGTATCGACTCTTGGTATCAARTCTGGCATTGATTGTTCCATGGTGTTAAGATTTACTTGAAATTGCGATGTAAGCGCCTTAACATATCCATGCAATATGGTGTTGCATTTGTTTTCCASACGCACATACACATGTTTCTGCATTTTGTGTTCCTTGAATCGATCTGTTCAGTTCCCTGACTGAATCTTGGTAAGTTGATATCATGGTATTGGTTATTAGTCATTTAGTTCCTATTAAGTTGTAAGTAATGTCTTGCATGGAGTAACCGTTGATGTTGATTGCATTCCTCGTACGRCCTAATTGAAATGCCATCCTTGTGACATTCTTCTTGGCCGGTCTGGAAAAAGAACTTATGTTTACACCCGAATCGGGGAATTCAACAGATACAATCAGCCATTTCTGTTTTGAACTTGCATTGTTTACATCTCCTCCTGGTATTCTCATTTCTCCACAAGTGTTATCTTGATTGATGTTAACCATTTTTCTGGGATCATTCCTATATTAATCAACAGAGGAAATAAATAAAATATTTTACAAATCTGTATATGACTCCCAACAGAAAGATGTTGACGGGAGAGAGCTATTTTTAGTTGACTTAGACACAAGTGACTGGAATCCGCCACTTCTGCTTTCAACATATATTTTTTACACCCCCTCCTAGTACTCTTATTTCTCCGCAATCTTGATGTTAACCCTTTCTCTGGGATCATTCCTAGATTTATCAAGTGAAGGAAATAAATGAAATATTTTATGTGGCTTTCAACATAGAGATGTTGACATGAGAGTTATGTCAAAATGTGTTTTAAGTTGAATTAGAAAACGGATGGCTTTTAATCCCTCCTTGGTTTAAAAATTCTTGCTTAAATTAATCACCTTTAATCAAAGGCCAGGGTTTCTCGAAAATATCTTTCTCTTTTTCATACATTATCAAAGCCATTCTAAATACTCTGTTTATATACATCTACATTCTTTGTGTGTCATTTACTTGTTTTTCACTAAATGACAACCTTTTAGAGTTCTGTCASGAGTGGCTGATGATCTGCCGGATAATTTGATCATCATGGTTTGATTTTTGGGAAATTTCTTTCCCCCCTCTGTTTATGACATGTACACGAGTTTTGCAATAACATGTTCACGGTTTCTTACTTCGGAAGTTCTTGTACCAGTGCATCTTGTTTGGAGCTAAAGTTGTTCGGTACGCTGCACSTTGGACTATCTTGGTTCGTCTGTCTCTAATTATTTTTTCATGCCGACTATTAGTCTCRAGCATGGCATTGGCCATTCTTCATAATTTTTTTGTTTTTAGATGTGCATTTTTGCTTCTTTAGTTATTTCCAGTTCTTCATATTGATATCCAGTACCCTTGCTCAAAAGATCTCGCCTTTTGTAGAGCACGCTAGTGGAACCTCATGATGAGCCTTCCCCCGACACTAAAGGTTGAGTTCATGGCTTTGGTTGTCCCTTCTATTTCGTGTAATGGAGGTACATTGGAATTTCATGAAGTCATATGCTATTCACTTGTCTAATACTTATAAATATAGTCGTAGATCACATGAATGTACATTGAATGTTATCATTAAATTTTATGATTATAAGTTGGCTTTGACAATTGGATTGGTCCTTCTTTTTGCAGGATGCGTTGCTTTTTGTTCTTCTGCTAGACCATGGATCTAGCCAACTCAAGGACTATGTTTGTGGACAAGTATGTTTGAAATTAACTTTCTAAATAATTTTGTTCTTTGTGAAGGTGTCTACATTGTTAACTCTTTCATTGTTTGTGGTMAAAATTGGTTTTTTTTGTCAATGATTGTGATGGTGGCAAAATGAACATATATTTTTTTGAATGCAGYTCTTGCAAATCCCATGCATGGTGGTAAACTGCAATCCTGGTAAATGGAACCGAGCTGGTTTGTCGTTTCTGTTCAAAATCTCAATTCATATCCATGTAGATATTTTTCGTTTATTACTTCTTTTAGGTTATATGACTTGGCCATTTTTAGTTCTGTCAACGAATGAATTACCTACCGGATGATTTGGTTATCATGGCTTAATTTGGACGATGCGATTGGGAAATTCTTTTCTTCCCTCTGTTTTGCAGTAACATGTTCTTGTTTTTTTTTTTTTGCTTCTTCGGTTTTGTACCAGCTCTATTTTGTGGAATAGAAGTCGTTAATTAGGCTGCAGCTCGGCCATCTCTGTTGGTCTGTCTCAAAATATGGTTTAATATGGATGATACGTATGGATATGTAGGGATCATTGCCTACTTAGTACATTTAGTGCATAAATAATGTTGTAGCTGATCATAGTCCTGTGGTTTATCCTCTCTCTTAATTTCCCCTACTTATATGGGTTGTTTGTTCTTAGAGGGGATATGACTAACATACACAATTTCCTCATTACTGAACTTTCTCTCAGATTCCTATTTGATCCTTAATTTCGAAGATAATTCCATACTTGATTTTCCAGATTTAAGAGTTTCAGTTGGTCCTTGGTATTATCAACCCTGATTGAATTTATATTATTATATCAATGGGTGTCCATATTTCTCCGGTACTGTCAAAAGATCTCACTTTTTTCTTAAAGCGCGATAGTATGCCGTTTTAGACCTCATGATCATGAGCCATCAGAAATTCCTTAAGTATGCATTTTCATTGATGCCAAAGGTGGTGGCTCTTTACTCTGTTTTTCCGACTTTGTGTTTGTGTTCCACACACGCACCACACGCACATGTTGCTGATTTTTCTAGTCCTCCTATTTTCGGTGATGGACTTCCTATCCATTTCCCTCCATGTGGTGTTCTGTAATGTGGATTTTTTTGCGGAAAGTAACGGCTGATGTTGCTTGCAGATCCTCATATGGCTAATTAAAAAACAATGCTCAAGAGTTCTCTCACACGGGCTGGAATCTGCTTTCATATTATATTGTTTGCAGTCCATCGTGGTGCTCTCATTAATTTATCCCTTTCGTATTATATTGTTTGCAGTCCATCGTGGTGCTCTCATTAATTTATCCTCCTGATGTTCAACAGTAAGTCTTTTGTTGGCCCTCTCTTTAGTTGGCATGTAGTGGTGTCATGGAATTTTTTAAATGATCTGCATGATAGTAATTTCGCGTTTTGTGTGATGATTTCGGGAAATCAAACTTGTTTGGCACTGGAATCATCTATGAGGTTCTGCAATTCCCATTTCTTTTGTTGATTTTAACCTCAAGCTTCATGTACATGCCGAGACATTGCATACTAAATGACTTGCAGATTTCCCCTCTTAAGTCTATCAAAAGGATGTGCCCTGGTACAACTTTTGGTTTTTGTTTATTTTATTTAATGGGCTGATCTTTAAATTACTTTGTTGTGGGTTTGGAATAAAGAGATATTGGTGTCACTTGTATTGACTATTTACTCCTCTTGAGAAATGTTGGTACAGCTCTGATATTTCAGGGCCTGAGGATCAGCATCATCTGGGTACTTATCGGAAATTAATTGGAAGGCTGTGTTTAC